TGTACCAATGAAGGAGTTTTTCTTTTGCTTTTCAAGGAGAGGAGCAAACGGGGAGGGGGCAGGAGGGAGGGATTTGTGCGGGGAGAAGGGTGCAACAATGAATTAATGGAATTCCAAAATCTCTGTAGATGTTCATTGAAATGAAAAATAAACAAACTAAATTAAAATTTAAAAACAAAATTGGGAAGGGTATACAAAAAAAAAAAAAAAGAAGAAGAAGAGGCCAGTCATTGGAGAAAGGCATTGTGCTTGGAAAGACTGGGGGTCAGGGAAACGGGAAAGCCCACGCGATGGATTGGCATGACTGCATGGTGGGTTCAAGTACGTCAGAGATGGGAGGATGGCACAGGACAGGGCAGGGTTCAGGTCTGCTGTCCACAAGGTCCTGCGGGTCATAGTCAACTCTAACAACAACGATAACAACAGCATAACATCCTGTGTTGCACAGAAATTTCAAAGTCAAATCTATTGCTGCTCTTATTTATTTTTTTTAAAAAAAAAAGCTTTTACAGTGATGTGGCAATGGGGTTTGCATTTTTTATGTAATCTTTTAAAACTTTTTGTTTTATTTCTATTTTTTATTTATTTTTTTTACATTTAATGAACATTTACAGAGACTTTGGGTTTCCATTCATTCATTGTTGCATTGGGGGACTTGCATCTTTAAAAGGAAAGGAAGGGAAACACATCTAGAAGGTCAGAAGGGCCGTCCTCTCCTTGTTCATTGAATGAAATGGATCATCAGAGCGGAGGAACTGAACTCGTAAAGCGAACCACTAGGGATGGAGGGATTGGATTATTAGAGCCTGGAGCTGACTCCCACGGTAGGCTGAGGGATGGGCAGGTGAATGGCAAGCTGGCAGGTGAGTCACTGACAGAAGAACGGTTGATGACTGACTGACAGGTGGCTGACACGTGCAGAGCTGATGGGTTACCTAAAAGCTGACGTCTGACCAGTGGACAGAGAGGCACCGCCTCTGCCTCCCCACCTGACTCCCCCCTCCTCCTTCACTCTCGGCCTCTAGTTCAGCAACATCCCCTTCTTCATCCTCGGGCCCCTCATGATGTCCCTGATGCACTCCTACGCCCTGAAGCGTTCCCTCTACATCCACTGCTTCGGGGTCCTCTTCATGGTCATAGGTAGGTGGGGATGTGACGCCGGGGATGGGGGGCAGCGGGGTGGAGCGGGCGGCCCCTGACCGCACCCTGGCCTCCGTACAGGGCTCTTCTCCATGTACTTCCACATGACCCTGAGCTTCCTGGGCCAGCTGCTGGACGAGCTCGCCATCTTGTGGCTGCTGGCCTGCGGCTACTGCATCTGGATGCCTCGCTGCTACTTTCCCGCCTTCCTGAAGAAGAGCAGGTGCTGGGGCGGCGGTCCCACCGGGGAGCTCCCGAGGGACCCTCCCGGAATGTTTCTGGGCCCTTAATTAGGCTCCTTGACCCACCTGGGACCCCTGAGCTAAACTCCCTTCGTCTCTGCTGGCCTCGCCTGGGCCCTTGTGGTTCCCTCAGGAGCACCCCTCCATGCATCCTCTGGGCTCACTGTCACCTCTCCCTTCTGAACACATCTTGATAGCCCAGGACCCTCTCTTGACCTGGCCTGGCTCACCTGGCCCTCCCCAATCCTTGTAAGCCTCCTCAAACTCTCCTAAGTCCAGGAGTCCTGCATGGCCTGTCCTGGGCTCCACTAGGGGCCTCACCTAGCCTGAACCTCCACTAAGTTCCCTTCCTGGGTTTCCCTAAATTCCTCACCTGACTTCACCTGGGCATCCCTACACCTTTACCTGACCTCACCTGAGCTCCTTTAAGTCGCTGAGCTCACCTGGGCCCCCTGAAGTTCCCTACCTGACCTCACTTGCTTTGGGATCCTCTTCATGGTCATTGGCGGTGGGGCTGTGACATCAGATTAACCCCTAATCTATCATATATGGTCCCCTAAGTTATTACCTGACCTAACCTGGGTTCCTCTAAGTTCTCTACCTGACCTCACCTGGAACACCTGATCCCTTACCCGATTTCACCTGGATCCCCCTAGGTCCCCTACCTGACCTCACCTGGGCCCCCTAGATCCCCTACCTAACCTTACCTAGGCCCCTCAGGTCCTATACCTGACCTCACCTAGACCCCCTAGATCCCCTACCTAACCTTACCTAGACCCCCCAGGTCCTATACCTAACCTTACCTAGACCCCCCCAGGTCCTATACCTGACCTCACCTGGACCCCCTACGTCACCTACATAACCTTACCTAGACACCCCCTATGTCCTCTGCTTGACTTCACCCAGGCCCCTAGGTCCGTTACCTGACCTCACCTTGACCCCCCCCGGGTACCCTACCTAACCTTACCTGGACCCCCCCCCGGGTCCCCTATCTGACCCCACCTGGACCCCTCTAGGTTCCCTACCTGACCTCACCCAGGCCCCCTCGGTCCCCTACCAGCCTCACTTGGACCCCCTAGGTCCCCTACCCTGTCTGTGCTCTCTGAGACCCTTCACTGATTCTCTGAGACCTTCTGGCTGAGCCCCAGTGGACCCCTTGAGACCCTTTGTCTGATCCTTCTGGGCCCACCTGGAGCCTCCAGACTCTCCAAGCCCAGAGGGACCCCTTAGGACCCCTGCCCTATTCACATCACTCTTCCACGAGACCTCCTCCAGTCCCACTAACCACCCCCCCAGACTTCTCTGTTCCCATCTGAACCCTCTCCGCACCCCACCCCCAAGGCTCCAATTTGTCCGCCTGGTCGTCGGCACCACTGTGGTCAGCACCTTCCTGTCCTTCTTGCGGCCCACCGCCAATGCCTACGTCCTCAACAGCATAGCCATCCACATCCTCTACATGGTCCACCGAGAGTACAAGAAGTGAGTGGACCCCGGCCCTGCCCCTCCCCACCCTAGCGCTCCCCGAGGTCTGGTGGGAGGTGGTCCTGACCCCCTGACATTGCAGACTCTGTAGGCAGACATCATTCCTCAAGATCAGCCCGAAAAGAGTGGCAGGGCCAGGATTTGAACCCATGCATCTCTGGTGGCACAACAGCTAAGTGCTTGGCTGCTAACAGAAAGGTTTGCAGCTCAAATCCAAGCAGTGACTCCTCAGAAGGCGCCTGTCTGGGAGATCTGTCACACGGAGTCAAACGCACGCGTTCACACCCAGCAGCAATGGCCACCTGCTGACCTGCTGTTTTCTTTACAATCCCTCAGATATTAAAACAAAAACAAGCACCCAATCAAACCAGCCATCAGATTCTGACCCACAGCGACCCAGTATGTCAGAACAGAGCACTGGGTGCGTAGCTTTCATTGTTTTGAAAAGTGATTTCTTTTGTTTCTTTCTGCTGTTGAGATTATACACAGCAACACACACACCAGCCCGACAGGTTCTCAGCTTGCATATCGTTCACATCTTTCAAGGGAGCCTGTTCTTTTTATTCTGGAAATCCCCAAACATGTAGTAGAAAGCAAGCCAGGGCCAAAAAATGGTTGCTGTGGAATGCGCTGCGGTCCGCCGTGACCCCAGGGCGGCTGAGCGAAACTGCTCAGAGCATGACCATTTTTGGGGGGGGGGCGGGGGGGGTGGGAGTCGTGCGCAGATTGCCAGGTCTCCCTGGATGGTTTCGAACCCTTAACCTTTCATTAGCAGCTGAGGGTACTGAACACCTGCAGCACACAGGGACTCAGCTGTGCCACCTGCTAATTTACTTAACCTTGGGGACGAGAGAGGACAGTCCTGTAATCTGGCATGCCTCTGTGTCCTCACTGATAATTTGGAAAGCAACGGTGTTGTGGGGTGTTAGCAGTTGGAAAGCCTTTAGGAAGGAGCAGTCTGGTACCTGTAAGCGCTCAGCAAGCATCAGCTGTCAGCTCAGACGAGGCGCCGTCTGCCCACCGCCTTGGTCCCTGCCCCATGCTGGAAGAGTTTCCCATCAGCCCCTGAGGGCTCTTCTCTCTGGTGGCCCCTCTTTCCTTCCTGTTGTCGTTTGGAACCATCTAGCAATCCCATGTGACAGCAGAACAGCCCCATAAGGCTTTCTAGGTCTTTATGAGAGGAGATCTGATGGGCACCATGGCTAAGCACAAGGCTGTGGACAGAAAGGTTGGTGGCTCGAAACCTCTAGCCACTGAGCGGGAGAACGAAGCAGCAGGCTGCTTCTGTAAAGAAGAAACCAAACCAACACCATTCAGTGGATTCCAACTCACAGACACCTCCGTCAGGTCCCTGAGGCCATAAATCCCGGCAGGAGAAGACTAAATAACTATCCTTCTCTGGAGAAGCAACTGGTGGATTTGAACCTTCAACCTTTCAGTTGGCAGCTTAACACATCAAGCCACCAGGGCCCGGCTGTACAGAGGACCACCTTGGAGACCCTGCGGGACAGTTCTACTATGTGCGGTGGGGATCGGGGTGGGGGTGGGGTGAGACTCACCTTTGCAGGAGCACATAGCCAGGTCTCGCTCTGGAAGAGGGGCTCAGTGGATTTGAACCACCAGCCCTTTGGTTAGCAGCCAAGCATATAGCCGTCGTGGCACCAGGGCTCCTTTCTCTCTCCCCCAGGACCATCAATAAGGAGTTTCGGCGGATCATTCAAGTCTCTGTGGTCCTATGGGCCTGCGCCCTAACCAGCTGGATCAGTGACCGATTGCTCTGCAGTTTTTGGCAGCGGATAAATTTCTTCTACCTGCACAGCATCTGGTAAGCGTCCATCAAGGATGGGGTCCAGAGCCAGGGGTCTCAGATCCCAGTGCTGGGAGCAGGAGGCTGGGACGCAGAGAGGGGAACCACAGAGACCCAAAAGTCGGGGGTCCTCTCAGCTGACGAGGAGCCCTGGAATGGGAGGAGAGGACCTGGGGGGGGGGCGGCTAGAACATCTCCTTGGGTACAGAAGTGCCTGGCTCTCTCGCCACTTCTCCCACATCCTTTAAAGACCCAGTTCCTCTGAGACACAGGTGTGCTGTACACCCTGCTGGGTCCAGGGCTTGCGGGGCTGGAGGGACTGTCAGAGGAGGAAATCTTACATATTCCCACCAGAACCAAAGACTGTAAAGGTGGAAGGCTCAAAAGACCTGGAAAGAGGCAGTTCTATCCGGTTCTGATTCTGGACGTTGCTAGTTTTGTGTGCGTGCAAGGAGCCCAGTGTTGTTGTTGCTGTTGTGTGCCATTGAGTCGAGATGGACTCATAGCTGACCCTCCAGAAAGTTTTCAGAGGCTGTAAATTGCACAGGAGGAGATTGCTCGTCTTTCTCCCTCCAGGTGGTGCAGTGTGGAACACGTTGGGTGGCTAACTGAATGGGTAGCAGTTTGAATCCAGCAGGCCATCCACGGGGGACAGGTGAGCGGCCTCCTCCTGTAACAATGTCCTTACAGCTTTGAAAACCTGATGAAGGTCACTATGTGTGGGAATCAGCTTGAGGGCAGCAGGGTTCTGTTGGGGAGATCTATAGGTATAAATGTGGGTACATTTTTTTCATACATGTATTAGAATATATAAGCCTAGAAGCAGGAGAGGCATCCACTTCCGAAATGGCTTGCCTCCGGAAACTCTATGTACAAACAGGGCTCAGGCCTTTCGTTCATAGGGTCGCTATGAGTCGTCTACAACTCAATGGCACCAAACAACAACAACAACAACAACAACATTAGAATATATTCACAATCATTGTAAGTTGCTACCAAATCTATTTTGACTCATGGTGGACCCACATGTGCAAAGCAGA